CCATCAAAGGGGCAAAATTACCAAAAATAAATGATGTAGAACCTTGGGATGGTAAGGATGGAGAGGTAAGGTATATTTTAAGTGCTTTTTTGAATAAATATAGTGCAAAAAATGTTACAAATTACAATTAGTTTCCAAAAGGTTTATATAACCCTTTTTACTGTCGAGAAACAGATGAGTGCTGATCCTATTTACATTTGTATCATAAGTTTATATACTAAATAACACAAGATACAGATTTGTGGCTTTGAAAATAATTCACTGTAGTTCATGTTAGGCATATATTGTTTTTCCTTTTTGAATAAATGATCTAAAGCTCTCACTAAATATTTAATTTACATTCATTACTTAAAATTGTCATATCTTGATTGAAATGGTGATTTGCAACAAATCATTTTCAAGATCCCCTAATCTCAACACATTTTTGAAATGGTGTCTAAATCTCTGTCTTATTTTTTTTTTTAATAGCTTCCACCAGAAGAAGACATTGACCTAAGTGATGTTGTTTTAGATGATGAACCAAGTGGGCGTGAAGAACTTTGAGTGCATTTGTGTTTAAAATATTAATGAACTTGGAACACTTAGATCATTTCCACTAAGAACAGTTTTTCATGGTGTGACAGTGTTCAAATTTAAGTATAAGAGAAAGCATAGAAGTGTTTCCCTGTAAGTCTGATTTTGCTTTTATTTTCTGTGCAGATTTATTGAGCAATTTTCAATAAAAACTGCTTTTAAAGATTGTTTGTCACTAACAGTGGTCATATTTTCTGTGTATTAGAAATCTGTTGACCAATACAAGAGATACATATAAGTTCTGTTGTGTTAATCGAAAGAAAATGTTATTTTCATAAAAAACCAGTAGATTTTTTTATAAGTAATTACAGATATTTAACTGGAGCATACAACAACAAAACAGGTTTTATAAGCATTATCAGCCCTCAGTTTTTGTTTCTAAGTCAGTGATCTAGTTGACCAATTTTTAAAAATATTATTCTTTATTAAAATATTTTTGGTTTGTTTGTTCCATTATAGCATGTTTAGATCTTCTGAGACTAGAATACACTTCATAAATATTCATTGTTGGTCAGAACAGTGAAAGCATGAATGAATATGATTTCAGAAAGAGTTGTTTTTGTTAGTTTTATAATAGAAACTGTGTTATGATTTGTAAGAAAATAGTTTAAAGCCAAACAACTGAAGGAAATGTATGTTATAATTTCAATAAAAACTTCAGTCACATTTTTCATGCAGAGAAATTGAATATTAGAATTTGAAAAAAAGCTTCAGGCTATATCTAGGTGATCATGTCTGCTTCAGTTTTCACTTTATAGAATGTAAGGATATGCAAGATAACTTAAAGTACAACTACTCTTATTTCATAAGTTCATTAAACAACAACAACGTAGTATTATTGTATACAGGAGAACATGTAATCATATTTAAAACTAAAAGTAATGAAACTAATTTGACAATGTAGCAAGCTCTATGTATAATTGAAATGTATTTTTAGATTGGTTTATAAAATGAAACCTTTCATTAAACTTAAAGACAATGCACTAAAATGTAAGCATATGTGGGTCCACCATTCTAACGCACAAAAGAGCAGAACACTTACCATTAAAATTTTAATATATTCAATATTGCACCTCATGGTTCAACAGCTTGTATTGCTGATATTAACACAATTCATTGAGAAAATATCGGTACAGTCCAAAATAAATAACTGAATAATAAAGTCTGCTAATAGCTTGCCTAAATCTTAATCTGAACTAATAAGGTTGCATTAAAGAATGTTGTGGTCCAAAAATGTAATTATATAATAAACTTGTACCATCTTAGAGCATGAGTTTTTTTTTTAATGTAAAATGTGCACAAACAGTATGTTTAAAGTTCTCAAAAAAATTCTTTTGTGAGTAATTAGTTAAATACATTCCACTGAGTTTGTGAACACATATATATATATACTTTATTTGAATTGTTTACAAACTGATGAAAATACTTTTATTTTTTGTAAGTACTGGTTTCTCACACTCTTTAGTTTACATGAAACCTAAAATTATTTTACAAATGAAAGTTTTGTGAATGAAAACTACTGGTAATGTAAGGCTGTTTTGATTAAATGACTAAAATTATTTACAGTAATTAAATATGAAAATGTTTTGTTCCATTTCCTTATTACTGTCACTTTGTCTGAAAGAATAAAAATACTTGTCTATTGCCTTTATTCAGCTGAGCAGTATACTTTTTTTTTTTTTTAATGTCGTATACTACTTGAAATACTAGTGAAGTAACTTGTATGGTCAGTAGAATGTCTGGAAATACACCTTGAAATTTTATTTGTTGTATTCTTATTTGTATAGTTATTAAAATTATATTAAAGGCTAAAAAGTATATCATTTGCAGATTGAGGTTATTAGAAGACTAGAACTTGTACTTTTATACAGTTACATAAGTCCAATATTAAGAGTTGCAACATGTATTTCTAATATAAATCAGTGAAGAAAATGGTTATTTAATCATAGGAATAATACAAAATTATCAGGACAGTGATGTCTTCAGTGCCATGTTACTTGGATCATAAATAAAAAAACACTGGACTGTAAATTTTTCAATGCATTGTATTTGGCAAAACAAGTAGAAATTAACTTTCTTTGTTATTTGAAATCTAAATAGTAGGATGAACAAATACAAGAAGATCTGTAAGATGTTCAAAGCTGGTTATGAAAAAACACAGAATTAAAGTATCTGGTATAAATTATTTTACCAACAAGTTTCAGCTAAATTTAGGTTAAAGGAAATAAAATAGATTAGTTGTGAAATGTGTAATGGTGAAACTAATATTTTAGACAGCAGTGTTTGATACAACTGTTGGAATTAAACTAATTAATTAAATCTGGGAAATACAAAATTAAGATTTTAGGTTTTGATTGGAGAGACTTTGCACATATAAGCCATGATTATAATGAAAAGCAAATTAAGTGAAGTAACAAATAGTAAAATGGTTTCTTTTTAAATGTACTTTTTTTTTCCATCTAATGGAGTAATGAGGCTTAACTGTAGAAAAAAAGTGAAAGAGTACTCCCAGTTGTCAGATCTGTTGAAAGAGTGCTTTTAATCCTGTAAAATATACATAAGGAAATAGGCAGTATTTATAACTTGACTTAATTTATATTCTTTCATCAACATTAACTTTGCTGTTTCATAAATTATTTTTTTGTCCTTTTCTAAATTATTAATGTTAATTATATGTCTCGAACCTTAAAATCAACACCACTTCACAAGCCATTGATAGTATCTTTCATTGATACTGGTGAGTTTAATTTTAATGGCAATATGTAACTTAACAAAATAACAAGCTTATGTATGGACTATATGTTGAAGTAAGTTGTGCACCTTTATAAGTTAATTCAATATTCACTATAACTTCTAATAATGAAAAGAGTTAACCAGCTATATGAAACGTTTACTGATTTGTAGAGTACCGTGTTTCAATATACTAGTGAAAGTTAATTGGACTTTATAAGAACTTTGTCCCAGGTTCCATGTAAAATACTTCCTCTTTTATTGATCATGCTCAGTTTGATAGTTACAATTAATGTGATGAATTATTGTTCAACATCATGTATTCCAATATGAGAAGCTTTTGTGATGCAGACTTTTCACAGACACTCCCTTGTATGTGACCACTGACTTCCAAGACTGTTTAAGCAGATTATGATACAAAGGTCTATTGCAGCTGCATCAGCGGTGTTGTCAGCTATGTAGTAAAATGAAATTGATACGATTCCAGTTTCTTCAGCTATCTTTCCTTAATCATATGAAATTATTCATTAAGTATTAGGTGTGACTTAAAGCTAGTAAACTTGTGAGCATTTATGAAAGTTTCAAATCTTTGTTTATTACTTTGATAAAGGTACCAGAAAATATATTCAGATTCATTGGAATGGCTTTTTTGGTTCTGAAGATGGTAGCCCTTCTAAGTGTGAAACAAGTCTTGCATGATAGTTTATAAAAAAGCTATCCTTGTCTAGATCATAAACTTTTTCTTTTATTCTGTTACTTTCCACATCTAATAATAAATATTGTTTAATAATTATCTTTCCACCAATAATTTGAAGAATATTTTTCCTAACTTAAAGCCTAACTAGCATAACCACATTAAGTTTCAAAGTTCAGGTCCTCCTACATTATTTCTGACAAATCAAAGATTACAATTCTTAACCAGCATAAATTGTTTTCGTATTCAGTTAGCAAAAATAGTCCAGAGTTTAGTACAAGACATTTCTATGAAGGTAAATAAAATAACCTGTATCTCCAGAATGTATTTTCAGTTGCCCAATATCTCACTATTACAGCTTCATCAGGAGCTATCGATATTCTAGAAGTTCACTAATCCAGTTGAAACTACAGTGGAATATTGTCATCACTTAACTGAACAATAATACACATGCCTAAAAAGTTCAGATCATTGTAAAATAATATTAAACATTCAAAAATTTAAATTGTTGAAACAAACCATACCAACAATGGTAAATAATATATGTAAATCAACAGGTAAACTATTAAAATATTAGATAGGATACATATATATATATAAAATACACCTTCATACTTGCATCTGTAAATATTATTTCAAATTGTTATATCAACACATACACAAAACAATGTTGAAAAATATATTTTTAACCATTAGTAGAGTATATAAAGACTTGCCACATCTGCCACTGCAGCAATTTTAACCATGCACTAAGTCAATAATGTACAGTGACCTGCATTTACTTCTGAAAAAAGACATCAGAAATGGATAACGAACCATGTACTTCGATATAAATTGTTACAAAATGCAAGTTTTATCAACTTTAAAAGTCTTCCTATGTACAATAAGTCTTGAAACAGAGTGCAATGCAAAGTGCCAGTTTAGCCATACACGTTTCACACTGATGACACATCTTTTACTGCCCTTGTTGACTTACTCAATATTGATTGTGTTATATCCAGGTAATGCTGCCATGACATGTCCCTGGACTTGTGATGCAAAAATGGCTCTGCTGAGGCATTGTTGGGTGTAGATTCTGTGTTGCAATTCTGGTCCAACATCAGCAAACATATGACTTGTATTCTAAATCATGCTTGTGGCTATTGGCCTCCATGCTTGAAATATAGTAAGTAAGAATTGGTCTTAGCCATATCCATAAAATGTAACAACCTTCTTGTATCACCTGAATGACTTTTGAAGTGGTGAATAGAACGATGTTAGTTGGAAGTGATAAAAATATTTTGGTTATAGCTGAGAATGCAGTCTGGTTTCTGAACTGGTTTACCTTCTGGCTGGCCACAACTTTTCCAGTATGAAATGTGGACAACATTAGAACATCTCTCTTGTCTCACCAGAATGCACCCATATCTTCTGTGGATAGATACACTTGCCCTTTTTTCAGTTTGAGGAAGATATATGTGATTTAATCATATAGTTCCACACACTAGCATCTTCCTTTTCAGAAATAATTTTTCCAACAGCATGCCAGCATAAAAATTGTCAAGGTATAGTTCATAACCGAAATGAAACATTTTTGCATCAGCTTCAACACTACTGCCTCTGCATGTCCAAGTCTGGCATTTATGTCTGACCTCCCACAATAAATATGGGCATTCCATACATACCTGGAGGGCTCACACAAGAGGTAAAGCTTCTTGACAGGTATATACTGGTGCAACACCAGCCTGCTATGCCACAAAACCATTGATTCATCAACTGACAACTCCTTGCCAGGCACATACACTTCCTGGAAATGCTGGAGTAAGGCATCGCGGATTCCCTGAAGTTTATACAATTGGTCTTTTCTGGCACACATTTATTATTGCTAAAATGTCAAAACTTTAGCAACAGTTTGAAATGATTGTGTTGCATAACAGTATTGACAAATGGAGTAACCAGCACTGGATAAATTGATCAATAATCCTCTAAGTGTTTTTTTCATGATGCCCATGATGAATAGAAAGGCAATTTTTTTTTTTCAGATGCATCAGTTACAGACCACTGGTGCTTCCTGCTTTTAGACTTCGGAAGGTTCAACTCTAAGAATTGTTCAGCAACCTATTTGTTTTAGTGACCATCATATTCACAACATCTTCATTTATAAACAGTATAAAAATGTCAACTGGAATGGCCTCTGGTGGCAAATATGCAACCACTTGAGGCTGTGCAGTAAACAATTATCAGTTGGACTAACATATGTAGCCTGGACTGTCTGCTATCCATCAACTAGTGCTGTTATTCTAGTATCAGTTTGTACAACCTTGCCATCTTGTAGCTATAACAGTAACCAAAACAAATCACTGCAGAAATCTAAGGTTACATGACTTGAAACTTCAGTGAAATATTTTTCTCTCACTTACAAGAGCAGCACACACATAATCATTATACAGTGCTAAGGGACTGTATCTGTATACTTGCATGTAGTTATAGCACTTTATTAGCAGTGAATATGTTAAGGGAGATGTCATTAATAGCAAACTCAGCATACGAGAAAGAAATACAATGTGTAAAAAATATCTAAAGTCACTAACTATGGACTAAATGATTGATGCCATAGTAAGAACTTTATTTATGGAGAAACTTGTCAACTCGTACATGATAAAGTATCTGAACATATGCATGACATTCAAAACCTCAATACTAATAATGCTATTGCTGAACATTATGGAAAAGAACATGGAATACCTCAAGCAGATAACATCTTTTGTAAATGGTATACTTTTCTGGACTGAAAGATTAAGTAACCCATTTTAATAAAATGAAAAAAAATATAAAAGTTGGCCTCTAGTGTAGAGATGTTAATGCCATTCTGATATTTTTAATATGCTTGACATTTGACTATACACTCTCATAATGGTTAGAATGTATTTTCTGACATTGTTTTGTATATGTATTGATAGATTGAAAAGAGATAGAAGTATGAAGAGGTATTTTATTTAAGTAACAAATCCTATGATTTTAATAGTTTACTTATTGATTTACACATATTTATTTACCACTGTAGGTTCAGTTTGTTTCAACACTTTAAATTCAAGAATGTTTGATATTATTTTAATATGATCTGAACCTATAAGACACGTGTATCAATGTTCGATTAACTGATGACGGTATTTTAGTTTAGTTTCAACTGGATTAGTGAACTTGTAGTTCATGTTTGACCATTCAAAAATAACCTGTTTGAGTATTTTTAATCACTTTTGAAAAAACCTTACCAGACTTATTTCTGCACCAAAACCATTCAATGTAAATCAGATTTGGTCGAAAAACATTGGGCTGCGAAGTTTACTGCAATTTACTAATACCATTATCTGTCAAAATGCTAGTGTTGTACCACCAGTGTTATTCTATAATTATG